TTATTTTAATTTATAATGTGAACTATTCCAGTTCATGGATGCCAATGAAATTTGAGAACAACTGAAATGTACAAGTAAGTCAGACTCTTTTAAATGAATGTATCAAGTATACACATGAATTATTTGCCCCAACACATTGGTTTATTCTTCATTCTAAGTTGTGACTGATATGTTTGTGTGGGCTTGATTGGCACAGTCGTAGAATAATAGATTTTAATATTAGATTAAAACAGTTTGCAAGCAGGGGTACAGCCACGTATGACTGCATGCATTTTAAAAGGGCGTACACCCTCCTCCCAGGTCTCTTGGCTGACAATTTTTTTTTTACAAACCTACGCCTTGGAAGCTTAAAAATTACGACCGCATGGATTCACATCATCTATGGGGAGTGTGCATGATATGAAAAAAAAATATCAAAAATATGACCCCCCTCGGAATTAAATCATCTGTAGGGGTGTGGATATAGAAAAAAAAATAGTCAAAAAATGACACCTCTCGGAATTGGACCATCCATACTTTTTGTAGAAATATGACCCCTCGGATTTAACCCATCCGTAGGGGGGGGGGGGTGGACAAAAACTGGAATGACCCGTTTGACACAAGAAATTACAACAAAAGCACAAATTTACACGCACTGTTTACGTCGCTATTATATCCCATATCGAACACCGACACCACCGCCCTTTAAATTTAGCTATATATGCTTGCATTACATTACATTACCAGGGATAATGCCCGAGGCATAGACGTCAGGCCCCTGTGGCTCGGGATCCCCAGGGTAAGTCACTGCCGTTAAAGGGTGAATAACGACGTTTGCCGACAATAAGTGAAAATATGACGTAAAATAGAATATAAAATAATGTTCATAAAGTAGGCTAGATAAGATTAATCTTACTAAGTAAATAGCTCAGAAACATATTTAATTTTGCATGTATTAAAAAGTCAACAAATCAAATACTACGACTGTTTGTAGATGACCCTGTTAAAATGTTTTACGACAAATTTTGACCCTTGACACAGGTCGAGGGCAAATTTTGTCGATGGTGGATCCCGCGTATTTCGTATTTTAACTCAGTACACTGTTCAGAATGGCCGCGTTTTTACTCCTTTTCTTTCCGATCGATGATACTTTATTCATAAAAAGAACAATCGAGTTTCCATGCAGCCCAAATGAAGTGTCGTTGGGAATGAAGATAAAGTGTGTCTTCCAAACGAAGGCACTAAATGACAGTGGTCGTGAGAGCGAGTCGCAAGAGGAACGTGAAGGCTTTGTAGTTTTCCATTCAGCTCGTAAGTAGTAGCCATGTATTCATGTCAATTATATACGACGTTGTACTTTGTTATTTTATGATCGGCATTAACCCTATATCTATTAATTTTACTAGAAGGTTCTACGAATGTGTGAGTTGTGCAAGAGAACTTGCATTGTAATGTTCTTTTGTATTTGTGTTGTTGACAAATTTCGGTTTGCGCACATAAAAACAGATACATGCATCAAAAAAATAAGAAAGATAAGGTCAAAGTGGAGAATATATGATTCAATTTTATGATATTTCACTGGAATTCTAAAAATGTATTACTGTAATCGCAACTGACCTTCAAATCTCGTTTCCTTTCTTAACTAGTAACCTAACATCTGAATCATATTCTATGAATATTCATGATTGTTTACAAGAGAAACAATACATTACTTCATGCATTCTGATTATCAAAGACAGTGATTTCCAGAATACTTTGGCTGAATGTGTCACCATGAAGTCAATATGCATACTAAAATCTTTGCTTCTTGGCACCCGCGCCATGGTTTACTGTCACCGCCATATTGTTTCGAGCACCAAAACAGTAATATTGCCAGCTAAGTTACTGAGAGATTTGCTATGTGTGCCTGGAGATCATTACGTGATTAAAAACAAGTTTTGTCAAACCAACCTCAAAAGTAGACATCAAACTAACAGTCAGACTCGGACATGTTGAATATAAATAGAAGAACGCGATGCAATTGCCTTTCAATTTATTTCATTCAATAATATAAATTTGTATATGATAAATGGCAAAGTTATCTAAACAAAATGTATGTACTGACACAGTATGAAATGTTAGGACACAGTTGTGTTTGGTTCATGTCATATCTCGTAAATGAGCGCAATTAGCCGAATGGCACGCTGTCGTAGAAATGGTTTGAACTAACCAGTTCTAATCGTGTAACGATCTGGAGATGCACTTAGAAAACCAATCAGCAACATTGCTGGCAATGTTGATATATTTTGGTGTTCAAAACTGAATGCTAAAGTGGTGCGTCTTACATTCAAAATTGTTATTGGTCACCATTTTTTAGGGGTTTCGGCAATCTGAAATTGTAGTATTATTGGCATATGTACTACCATGAAACTACAAACCACAGGAAGACTTTGTTTCTATCGAAGTATGATTAATAGTAGCTTTGAAATACTAATAATATCATACGTACAATGTATATAAATAAGACACATCATGTGAATTTTGGTACAATTAAATGGAGATTTTTTTGTATGCATTTTATTTTTGTATCTTGGTTAATTTTACTTTGTTACATACAGAAATTTAAGATGGCAAACTGGCCACCATTTTTGTACAAAAATATTATCAAAACCAAGCATTTCTGCCATTTCTAAACCGGATTTCAGTCGTGAACTATTTCATTTGAACTTGGTATGTCTACGCATCATAGTGAATCTTTGCTATCTTGTTCCAGATCAGATTGAAATGGCCTATTGACAGCCATTTTGTTTAATGCATGCTGTTCTAGAGCTACATGTATATCTCTAACATGCCATATCATGTATTTTTAAACTTATTACATACATCATACTAGTACATCATGTTACATATATGCACATTTAATGATCAAAATCAAGATGGTTGGAAGTTAAAAGTGCATGCATTCCTGCCATTCCAGAACCAAATCTAACTGTGCATATTAGATTAGATTCAAAATGCCTGACCTTTTTGGTTTAATGAATGCTATTTCAGGGCCATATTTCTTCGGCATGTCTAGTGTTTAGCTCATAAGAGATCCCTAATAACAACAAGGACTATGTCATTTTCATTGACTTGTTTTGCCCTAATTTACAATGATGGAAATTTATTTTTATGCATCATATTGTTGTATCCTTTTTTACATTGTTATTATACATTGTTATTATATAAAGCAAATTATTGTAAAATATGAGGCAGCTGTGTGTACATGTATGCTGCTAACACCTGAAATGAATCATACTGTTATTTTTTTATGTCTGACAACAACAAAAAACAGCCCAATTCACAATTGTACAAATACAGTAAAGTACAGTCCATGTGTATCTCAACATTTAACTAGCTCTAAGCTGGCTTAAAGCGCGGTGGTCGTCGCGCTGTGCATTTGTGTTGATAAACATTGATTTTCCCACAATCCAATGCGTTCTTCAAATGGAAATCACAAGTATGAGGTTTGACCTGGGCGCGACTTGCACTGATTATCGACGGTGACTCCTTCGATGCCTTCCAATCGCATGAAAATTGCCTAATTAAAGCTTGGAAACGTCTCAGTTCGTACTCGTTGATCTGCGCAATAGTCAAAGTCGCCATCTTTGTTTATATGAGACCCATATATCTCGCACATGCGCAGCGCAATGACTACCATGCTTTAAGGTGGTTTAGCCTTATACTTGTATCTAGGTTATGCAGATTAGTCTGTCTAAATGTGTCTTATACAAGTATTAGTAACATGGGTAAATACTACTAAAACTAAGTTGTAATTATTGATAACAATGATATTCGCTTTAAGGATTACAGGTTTCTATAAATAGGTAAAGCTAGCCGATAAACCAGCCTGGACTGTACATGTACCGGTACTATGTATCTAATCAATATTACTGATCTTTTAGGAAAGAAGACTTGTATTGATATACAAGAAAAGTATGAAAAACTAGTTGCAGCTACACCAAAGCTGAGAAGACTACAAATTCTTGTAGCTGAAGGTGAGAAAGATATGAGAGATGCAGACAAATGTACAAAAAGAGGGGCACCTCAGAAGTCAATACAGGAGAACATTAATGAAAACAACCAAACTGTAACCAAGGGTTTAAAAAGAAAACAAGAGGCAATGTTAGAGGAAAGTTCTAAACAAATTAAAACAGGTCTTGAAAGGACGGTGGCTGTGAAAGAAAAAGAGAAACTGGAAGATAGTCAACAAATACCCACCCAGGAATTGAGTGATCAAGAAATAATGTACATGGCTATGTTAAGAGGGTTTGTCAGAAAAAACAAAACTGTAGAGTTGAAATGTCAGCAGATATTATCTCCATGCACAAGTCCAAACCATGTTCAGTCTGTCTGTATTAGGGATACAAACCTTCCACCAAGTTTCATTAAACAAGAACAAGACCTCCCACAAGAACATACAGTATTCAGTAGTAGTACTCGGCCTGATTCTCCTCTAAGTCCTGGTGAATCTGATAATATCAGAGGTCTAACCCCTCTGCCAATTTTCATTAAGCAAGAGGAATATCTCCCTAGTCCTTGTCAATCGGATAGTATTAGAGGTCTAACCTCTCCACCAATGCTAAGTTTCAATGAGGAAGATCTCCAAGGACGACAACCTGACCTTGATGTTTATCAGCCTTGTATAGAAACTTCACATCAGTTGTCATTTACGGAACAGGGGCTTTTTAATCCAACAGAGTCTGAGGCAAGCAGTGCTACATCTAATGATTTGCACAATGCTGGCACCTCCTCCGCATCAGAAAGTGTTGGAGACTCAATGAACATTATCCTCAATGACGCTGCATCTAACATACTTGTATCTTTGCAAGAGGAGAACCAACGTCTCAGAGATGAGAATGCTGCCTTGATTAGAGAAAATGCATTGAGAAAAACAGGTAAGAACCCCTCCTCCAGGATTCATGGTGAAATAGGATGTAAATGTAAACACACAGTACAGTCAAACCTGTACAGTGACCACATTTATATAAAGACCAACTGCCAATAGTGAGCACCTTTGGGCAATTCACATGTAAAGTGACTTGTGTAGAACAGGGTTCCTAACTAATGTGCCAGCTGACCACCTTCTTAATACCAGTTTGACCAAATGAACCTTTGTAATAAAGGCCAAATGATTGAAGATGTGTTTTACACTAGTTTTGATATTTTAGCAAATGTATTTATTTCCTTTCTTCAAATATTGGTTTACAAATTACCCCTTCAACTTAAAAATATTGTTGGTAGACTAGTTTATGCACATAATAATCAACCACCACATAAAGACAACCTATCTATAAAAGACTATTTTCTTAGGTACATTTTACCTTGGATGGCCGCTGTACATGTATAGCATTTTATGTCATGTCACAAAACTATGTCCTTGTTGCAATACAATACTGCATCTTGTTAGATATGGGTTTTATAACGAATTTATATATAAACACACACACAATACATTGTTTGTTTCGACTACTGCATTTCAATGCTTTGCTTTGTATACAGGTAGTGTAACTGGGATCACTTGGCAACACATCAATACCCTCCGAGAGTTGACCGGAATCTTGGAATGGCACACACAGCCCAGCCCAGACTCTGAAGGTGAACTGCCGTCAACACCTGTTAGGAATTACAATCAAGATTCTGGATACCTATCTACTGAGAGAGAATGTAACCCTGTGCAACATTCAATTCCATTGTCTGTCAGGAATAATGCAAACAGGATATTGCCTGACCCAACGTCATTATCAGTTAGGGATAACACTGGCAGAACATTGCCTGAACCAACGCCATTGTCAGTTAGGGATAACACTGGCAGAACATTGCCTGAACCAACGCCATTATCAGTTAGGGATAACACTGGCAGAACATTGCCTGAACCAACACCATTGTCATTTAGGGATAACACTGGCAGAACATTGCCTGAACCAACGCCATTATTAGTTAGGGATAACACTGGCAGACCATTGCCTGAACCAACGTCATTATCAGTTAGGGATAACACTGGCAGAACATTGCCTGACCCAACGTCATTATCAGTTAGGGATAACACTGGCAGAACATTGCCTGACCCAACGTCATTATCAGTTAGGGATAACACTGGCAGAACATTGCCTGAACCAACGCCATTATCAGTTAGGGATAACACTGGCAGAACATTGCCTGAACCAATGTCATTGTCAGTTAGGGATAACACTGGCAGAACATTACCTGAACCAATGTCATTGTCTGTCGGGAACAGTTCAAACAGAACATTGCCTGAACCAACGCCATTATCAGTTGGAGATGACATTGGCAGAACATTGCCTAAATCAACGCCATATTCTATCAGAAAAAATGTGGGCAGAACATTGCCTGAAACAACCCTATTGTCTGTCGGGAATAGTGCAAACAGAACATTGCGTGACCCATTGTCCATTTCTGTCGGGAATAGTGCAAACAGAACATTGCCTGAACCAACGCCATTATCAGTTGGAGATGATATTGGCAGAACATTGCCTGAATCAACGCCATATTCTATCAGAAAAAATGTGGGCAGAACATTGCCTGAACCAATGTCATTGTCTGTCAGGAATAGTGCAAACAGAACATTGCCTGAACCAACGCCATTATTTATCAGAAAAAATGTGGTCAGAACAATGCCTGAACCAATGTCATTGTCTGCTGGAAATAGTGCAAACAAAACATTGCCTGAACCAATGTCATTGTCTGTCAGGAAAAGTGCAAACAGAACATTGCCTGAACCAACGCCATTATTTATCAGGAAAAATGTGGGCCGAACAAATCTTGAACCAATGTCATTGTCTGCTGGAAATAGTGCGAACAGAACATTGCCTGAACCACAACCATTGCATGTATCGTCTTGCAGTCATAATAGATTCAGTCTGCAAGCAGCAGTTAGTGATCAGTCTGAATCCTATGTAAGTATTATAATAGGTACATGTATACATATTTACTCTATCAGAAGCACATATTCAATCAAATTAACAATTGCATTCATTGTATGCTGCACCATTAAAATACAACTTTGACTTAAGACATATTAGCATCATTTACATAAGCTTGTGTGTTACTAATGTAATATATAACAATTGTTGGTGCATCAACAATGTTCTTCTAGCTTACATTAGAACTGTACATTTATTCTAGAAACATCCTAATGATGCTCCCTAATCGCAGTATAACCTTGAAATATCTCATTAAATCACATGCTAAATTTTTAAAAATGAAAATGTATACAATATAGGTAATTTAGATTATTTTCAACTAGTCTGTCTAATAAAATATTAAGATTATGTACTTACATATATCACGGTTACTAAAAAAAATATATGCTACTCTTATGCAAATGTCACGTTAATGTTATTGAAATTTAATTTATTAGAATGAACAGACCGTTATCAGTGTTCTCCTTCAAATTTTAAAAAATTGGCACTGAGAAATATTGTGTTTTTGTTTCAAGAACCACCTTGAATCTATGTGTTTGAATGCAAAATACATAAAATTAAAAGGATTGTTTCTCAAATAATAAGGCTTATTAAGAACAAAGATTATTATATAAAGTCAAACACATTAATTTTATTTTTTTACCTGTGTAGGTTTCTGCATGTTATTATTAAAGTCAGATATAGTTTTCAATACTATTGTGTAATAGAGGTTGTGGTGTATTCAAACTTCACTTCACTCAAATTTTACTGAAAATTGCTAGATTATTCTTTACATAACTAAGTACTGTAATTGCAAAATAATAATTGCTTTAACTTTTTTTTTCAATCCACTTTTTCAAATCACGTTGATTTGTGTGTTTTTTGACTGGCTAGTAGTCAGAAAACAACATTTGACCATGTCATTAATTGTTTATTGGGCTTGTCTGGTCTAATATTATTCATACTAATGCATACTGATGTATTTATTGGCTGATTTCTTTTTTTTCACTACCTCATGATTTACTGTACCGATAGTGAATGCTTTTACATAAATGACAGAGGTGTGTCTAAAAAAAAAATTTATATTTTAATGAACCAGTATACAATAAATACCATAAAGTTGAAGTACATGCACTTTGAAATGTGCTTTCAATAGAGAGAATATGATACATTATGTCGTGATGGTCTTATACTGTACTTTCATTATTATGGGTTCATGTTGTCAGGATACTTAAAATAATAAAAGGAATACATGTACATGTATGCAATAAAAGAGTTCAGTATGTCATTGGAAAATGGCAAAAATTAGCATTTTTACACTGGTTTCTATGGTGAAGTCATTTCTTCATATCTTTAAATTTTGCTTGGTGACATGAGATGACAATATTATTATTGATACTAATTTTAATTTTGTTAAAAACAATTTTACAATATTCCATTCAATCTAGTCAATTTCTAGTGTTATACTTGTTTTCCATTATACAATGGGAAGTTTTTTCCCATAATGCATTGTTCAGTAGTGGGAGATTTTAATTCTGTTCAAACTATCTAAAGGAAAACATGTTAAAACTTCTATTTGATACGTGGCACTGATATGAAATAAGACATTTACAATAAAACCTTCATTTCCTGAAATCCTTATGTTCCTTTCAGTTACCAAGTTTTATTTAGTGAGTAAAACTGTTGTCAAATGTTTACCAAATTTTTTCGTGACATTTCTTTTTACCTCATTTCAGAAAAGAGTTCTTGTTACCGTGAAAGAAAACCCAGACCAATTCGCTGATGTCAAAGTGCCTACATTAGCATTGTTCAAAGCAGAAATGGCAGCTTTAAAGTCTAAAGATTACTTTGGTAAACCTCAATTTTAACAGTTTCTTATATATTTTGATTAATGTAATTTTTGGATAGCCTGTAATGTCAATTAAGGGAAAAGTATGCAAGGGAAAATGTAAGTCTTGTTCTCATCGCTAACTCTGTTTCTGATGGTACAGTAATTTCACTACTGTGGAATACTTTATTTTCGCTGGAATTAATTTTCGCTGAAAAAGTTTTTCGGGCGTTTTGTATGGAATGTATTTTCACTGATTTTTGATGAGTTTAATGTGAAATATAGGGAAAAAAGTATATTCGCTCCATTTTACTTTCGCGGAATCATCCCTTCAGCGAAAATAAAGTATTCTACAGTAATTCTTATCCAATCATCTTTAAACTTTAATATCATATTAATCAGTATCAAATTAAATTTTGGTGTGGTTCGCTTTTTTAATTTCAAAGATATTTTTTCGAAATGTAGTCTAAAATTGTCTTCTTGTGTGGTTACAGTAAAACAATTATGTTATTTTCAAACTTGAATATCTTCTCAATAACTATAAAATATCAACCAAGTTCAATTTTAGTGTTACTAGCATGTCAGATTTTCAAGATACATACATGAACATTTGGCTAAAATAAAACATTTGTTAAAGATAGAAAAAAATCCCAGCATTGTGCCCTCTAACAAGACTGATTTTTTTTGTGAAAATGGAATCTTGAAATATCAAATTGAGTCAGTTTGCTGACTGCTCGCAAGGTCGGCTTTTAATAAGAAAAAAAACTGTGACTGTGCAGGGGACTTACAAACAGTGATGTTGTTGTCCTCATTACTTTTCTTTTTACATCTGTTTATATTTTGTTTATAAAATGTGAATTTAATTTTTAACCAAATTACAAATTCCATAACTATAGTAAGATGTTTTTCAAGATCACTTTATCAATGTATGATTGTCTGTCGCGTCCATGAAGTACTAGCACAACTAGGTGCTTTACAGCCAATTTCTGTGTGTCAGTGACGTGTTATATCAACTTAGAGGGCATAGTGACGTACAGAGAATAAATAATATCTGCAATGATAATGTGAACCAGATGTCAGTAATATACTCTCCAAGATATGTAATGTTACTTAGTGCAGTAACTGGATATCTTGTTTTAATCATGTAGTGTAAGTCATTTTTCATACCAATAACCTGTAAACTTTACTTGAGATTAACATAGTAAATGTATTATTACAGATAGAAAATGCATTCCAGCATCTAATTTAGTATTTAATTCTTAGTCTGATAATCAGTCTAGTTTGTATTCATTCTAAATTCGTATTTGTTATTTAATATCTAGATTCTCAATGGGCAAGGTTGCGATAGTTACATTTTGCTTGGATTACATTATAGACGTGCTTCTCATAGAGCAAAAACTGAAGAAATTTCAAACTGCAATATTTTCACATTATTAATCACTGGATGGGGCCAGAAGTAATCAACTGAAACTAAAATGTGAATAATAATTTTTGCTGCAAGAAATTTTCATGATCTGAACATTTTATAGCATTCCTGAAAACAAAATTTAAGAAAAGTTACTGAAACTCTGTGTTGTATAAGCCCAAAAATATTTTTAGTGACTTGCAAAATTCTGAACATTTTTCAGAATAAAGCAGTATATGTACCTATACACAGAGATGCACATCCTTCATATTTCTGTGTGATTTCTCATGTACAGGTAACTTCTTTCTTCTTTCTCAGGTACACTTCTGAATGAGCTGATTGACATCTTGTTCACAAAGCAAGAACTGAGGATCTCTGGTGGACTTGGACTGAGGAAAAACAAAGATACCAAGGATAGGTTACCTTTAGATAAACACCGTGTAGATGCTTTAAGAGGTTAGTTTATTGCAGGTTTTCAAACTTAACTTATATGGTGGTTGAGGAGTTTATTAGAACAGTGAAACATTGAATAATTATTCCTATTATCAAGGAAATTATTTATTAAATATTAGTGGTATTGTTAATGTCTATAATAATTGATAATGGAATAATAATTCATTTGTTTTTTTAAAACAGCCTGTTATATTAGAAACACAATGAGAAAGTGTGGGTTGTCAGATATACAATGTATTAGTAAACCCCCAGATTTGGTGTAAGTTGAGAAAATTGCACATTGCATGTTTGTCATTTGCTAATTAATATTTTAATGAATACTACTTGACGTTAAAATGACCATATTAATGCATACCCCCTCCCTCCCTCCCTCCCTGAGAACATCCATCAGAAATCACAATCAGTCATTAGAGACAATACCTGCTGTGGTATATGTTGGTTCAAACTTTACCCTTGGATAACTTCAAACTTAGTTTGAAACAGGGACTTATAATTCTGTCTCTGTCCGTCCATCCATCCGGAGTTATATTTCAGAACACTGTGGACCAAATCTCTTCATTCTTTGCATGTGCCTAGCTCTTTATCTGTGACATGTGCACATGCAGTGGTTTTTACTGATTCAATTCAAGATGGCTGACTGGCAGTCATTTTGTTTTATTTAAAATGTGGTATCTTATGCATGCTATGTTAGTTTTTGTTCAAATTTGGTACATACATAGGATACATGTCTATGATGATCAGATCAAAGATGGCCAACCATTTTGTGTTTTTATCATACTACTATATCTCCAAGGCTTATGGGCCATTTTCATTCATATTTGGCACATACATTATGTCAGCTTGTTTAATATTCGAGGTACAAATGTATGTGTGGGGATCGAAAGTGGTACTTTGCACTACCGGAATGCACCTGCATATTTCCCAAAATAAGCATTGTGTGCCCCCTAGTTGCGCCATATTCTGAGTCCCTCATTCTGTGCCATTAAGAAAATTCATACTGTGCCCCATTCTGGGCTCCAGCATAGACTCCTAGAAAAAAGTTATGGCTATCAGAATGTTTTCACCTGAAATACTGTTATATAACATTTGTAGGGGCATTGAAAAGTATAAAGCTATTGGAAACAAATATATTAAAGTAATTGCCTAATTGTAATTAGGTACAATCAGCAGATGAAAATACCACGATTGCTCAAAAGTGCTACCAGGTATCATTTATACACAAATAAATAATCTGTGAAACAAGTAGGGGTGGCGACTAACCACTAAGTGTTTGTAAACACTCATTGAGAGAGAATTGGCGCCCGATAACACATCGTACATGTTTACACTCTATTATGGGCTATCAATGGCTAATTCTAATTCTAAGATACCATGAATTTATTGTTGTGTTTTGTAAACAATGTCTCGGTTCATCCTGGCTGTGGTATGGGAAAAAATGCACATTCGCCCAATCATTCTTGCGTGGTACAGTTTATCTTATTTACGATTTGGTGACCCTGATATAATTCCATTTTCACAATAGTTTGAGCGTTGTGTGATTTGTGGTGCTAAAAATGCGTGATTGCAGAACATTTTTTTTTTCTTGCCTAAAGCCGTTTGCTCAATCAAAAATCATGATTCATGCAACGGTGAGGTGAGGTGATGATGGGCTGCTCTGTTCCTGTAGTAAAATTGGTTCGGTTTGAAAACAAAGTATTTGAAAGGTCTAAATGGGGCTTTGTACCAAACACTTTCAGATAAGCTCAGTCGATTACATGTGAACTGTTGAAAAAAAAAACGTACATGCGTATTTTTATTTAATTTTTGCAGAACAATAATTATACTATGTGAAATGTGACGAATGAATAGAGGTATATGAATAACAATGCACAAATGCATTGAGAACAATGAACAAACGCTAACGTTTTTGAAAATAGCATGATTTTAGTAACAAAAAAAAGAATAATTTCTGCATATGCATTAGTTGTCATTTTCCGAAAAGCAAGTATGGAAAAAAATAGTTGCGTTCACGCACAGCTCCTTAGCACGGGCTAAGAGGTCAAATTCCTTAGCCTGTGCTAAGAAAACGTGCGTGAACGCTTAGCACGGGCTAAGGAATGCTAAGTACGGGTTAAATCTGATCCGAATTTAAGACGCGGTCTAGACCTTAGCACGGGCTAACGAAGTATGCGCGAACGCTTAGCCCAGGGCTAAGCGCGCTCTGCGGCGACCTTTGGGTGTGAAAATTGTCCCATGTTCGTATAACGACACTATTCCACCAGTCATTACTCCGCTCTCACTTCCACACTAATCGGGTCACTGTAGTAGAGCGTACAGCAGCTCCAATCGTGGACAAAATAAATTTGGTTCGCTGTCTACGACATGCATTAATAAAAAGCTGTATTCTGTTACGCCCGTTGTATACTGTTTATGTGCATCCAAATAAGTGGTCCGTCTTCTCTCGCGTTCCTGTGCACGTCGCTTCAAAATTAGAACGAAACATGCCAGCAGCAGAAATAGAACCACGCGCGTGTCATCCATTTTTCGTTCGTAAATAGCGGCTTACCAAAGGTCACCAACTAATGGCAGCCCTTAGCCCGTGCTAACGACTGGCCCTCCCTGTGCGTGGACGCAATTGGGTCTAGCCGAAATGCAAATATGCTAGATAAGCCTAAATCAGCTTAAAGGGGAGCAGAGGTGTGGCTTTTGACACTCTGTACATGAAATCTGAGATCTATGAATGGATTCTGTTGATAAAAATATCTTATATGTGCTGCGAAATGCCCTAAATATCGGGTATAAAACGGGCTGTGAAGCAGACAACAAACTTCCGCTTTTCCTGGTGTCATTTCGCCTCTAGAGGGCCAGTCAAATGACGTCATCAGTGAACACTGGTAATTGAACCCATTCATGCTAGTACGCCAATCCCATAGAAATGCTACTATGAAAGACCTTGTTAACTGACTACTTAAAAGTTGAAACATGGCGAGGTGTTGTGTTATGAATGCCGTAACGATTCATGTTATGTTTCTCGAAATCCCAAATAAAAAATCACGTTGTTGGTTGCGAGAAATCGGCAGAAGAACTAAACTGAAAGTGAAGACAGTACAGCGTTCTGGCTATAGTAAACAGTAAGTGAATAAATATTGTACGAGTTAAAACTAAATGAGAAATAAAGCGGGAGTTTGTCGTCTGCTTCACAGCCCGTTTTATACCCAATATTTAGGGCATTTTGCAGCGCATACAAGTTGTTTTTATCGACAGAATTCATTCATAGATCTCAAATTTCATGTACAGAGTGTCAAAAGCCACAACTTTGCTCCCCTTTAAATCTTAGCCCGTACTTCGTGTAACGTGAACACAACTAGTGTGATCCATACACCTTATCTCAACCTTTCCTGTTTATTATTTGAATTGTTCAGTTATTCTGTGAAAGCAAAAATCAACATTGCCTGTGGTGTTGAATGATAAACATTGCATTGTCTTTGAAACTTTTACACACACAGATTAAACTTTGGCTGTTTATTTTTGCAGATACTAGTGAGGTTGTGCTGCATTTTAACCAACTTACATGGCATTCATTGTTATTTTGACTCAAGAAATAATTTTTTGAACGCAAATAATAACATATTAAGTGGTTAGTCACTTTGGTGACTTGAAGTCAGAATGCATCAGGAAATTTTCAAAGCAATGTTTATTCACAGTCCTTCCACATTGTGGTTTATTGTAGCAAACCAAGGAGCTACAATTTTGTTGTAGCTTCCCTAACAAACCAACTCAGTAACTGACAAAGCAATTGCTGTTCAATTACATTTACTGTATCTAGAAAATTGTAATTTTGTTCATTCTGTTGGGTTGCACTCATTGCGCGGCTACAATATTGTGAGATAATAAAAACAAAATATTAGGAAGTATGAAGCCATGCAAATTGCAGTCATATGTGTGAAGCTATAAGCACATCTGTTTTTGTAAAGTACTAGTGCAAGGGATTTTGTTGGTATCGGAACTTAATAAAAGCTGAATGTTGAAATACAAAAGAAGTGGCCCTGGTGGATTGAGTACAAGAAAGTAAAACATCATTTCAACTACATATTGGTAGATCTAGATTGCGTCATATAAAACAACATTGCATTGCTTTTCACTGGCGCAGAATGACAGCCCAATTAGGGGACAATTTCTATAAATAAAGGACTGTAAAATTAATAGATCAAGAATTCAAACATTATTTAAACTGTGTAACAATTGACCTAGATTGAGTCATTGAAAACAGCAATATTTCGTACTCGAATGAAGAGCGCAGAATGATTTGTTTGTTTGTTTCCAATAGTTTTGTACTTTTCGATGCCCCTACAAATGTTATAACAGTATTTACATAACACCATCTGGATTGCGTTGATAAACAGACTTGAAAATCATTGCTGTAACTTAATTTTGTACCTATCATAGGGCACAGTATGAATTTTCTCGATGGTGCAGAATGATGGCGCACAATGCTTTTTGGGGAAATGTGTCCACGCATTCCGGTGGCACAGAGTACCGATTATGAGCCTCACACATACTTTCAGATCAAAGATGGCCAACTACCATCCATCTTGTTTCTTGAAAAATGTAGTATCTTGGATAGGATTTGTCAGTTTTCATTGAAATTTGATACAAACATTAATCATGTTGAGATGCATGTCTATTGTGATTCGTTTCGTGTTCAAATCCAAAATGACCAACTGGCACCAATCATGTTTTTTTTCAAAATGTATCGTTTTTTTTTTTTTTTTTCTCTTCAAATTATACATGTTAGGATACATGTCCATGACAGTTACTTGTACAATGTAGTTTCACAATCAGATCAAAGATGGTTGACTGCCTGCAATCTTGCTTTTTGACCATACTACTATAATATTTCTGTACATAAGCCTGGACAAATGAAATTCAGTTTGGATATAAAAAATGCATGAATAGCTTAACCTGTTTAATTTCTGACCATATGTTTCCATTTTACAAGTCATTTAATTTCTGTTGATACTAGACCATCCTATTATTCACTCTCAATTACTAACTATTCTTTTGGTTCACATTACTTATTTTTGGCATGAATAACATTTCCCCTAATTAATGTCATTATAAATAATGATTGACTTTGAATTAAGATGCATGTTACAAATAAATTGATTCTGCAATCCTCTCTTCTATTTCTAGTATACCTGCAAGCAAAAGCTGAAGAACAGAATATTGCCATGACCTTAAGTAAAAAGTCATTTAATGTGAAGTTCCAAAATAAAATCGGCAATGCTAAACGTACTTTTTTCAACAAAATAAAACTATAATAAAACATACAAATGAACACTAAAATTTAAACACATTTTAAATTATATATTTTAGCATCTTACATTTAATAAAAATGTAACCACATATTATTTAACAGATTTTCGTGAATTTAGAATTGTGAAATCTTTAGTTCACCAAAATTCTTTTCATCTTAGATTTTTCTTTCACATTTAGGCTTATTAATGAAAACAATCACCATTGAGACAAAGGACAAATCAAAACATTATGTAGACAATATTTAACATTTCCTAAGTTCTACGGCATAGCATAGTCATAGTTTGATAAATACAAAACTTTGTTAAAAAGTAGAACGTGTATTGAAAGAGCTTTCACGATTCTGACAATTGAAATGTATTTCACCTACACATGCAATAAACAATAAGGTTTTTTTATGGCACTAACTCTGGTGTAATCTGTTGTTGTTTTTGCCATGAAATATCGCAAGTGATTGTGTTTAGATGAAAGTGTTTTTTTTCCTGACATTGTATATGTCATCAGTGATTTTTACTTTGTGTGTCATCAATGTTTTATTTCATATCCTGCATAACTGAACTAAAGTAATGTTAGTTCCTATTATGAATATCATTAATGGACATATCACAAGTAAACTACAAACCTATAGCACACACATCTGTTATCTCTAAGGTTTTGGAGCATTTTATGCTTAAAAGATATAAAAAGCATTACTACGACAATCAGTTTGGGTTCAAGAAGAATCAGTCCATGCATCTCTATAAATTGTATTCTTCAATTATTCAATGGACTGGGTAGCAGTGCATGCATTTCTTTTTTTTGATACATCCAAAGTGTTTGATAGTCAACCACTGGACCCTAGTGCTCCTTTATCAATTCTTCATCTGCTAGACAACTGGTATTGTAGACAAAATTATGTAAATGGTGCAATGCCACATTACATTTCTTCTCAGTAATGTATGGTGTACATCAGGGTGTCTCTCCAATTCTCTGTAGTGTTTTCATGCATGATCTTAAGCCTGAAAATGAAAAACTTGACCTATCATGTCAAAGGATGTTGTTGAACGACAGAACATGTGGGAAATTGCTTTGTATCGAGTTTGCACACAATCATTCAACAATATTGGACATTTTGATTTTGACTGTTCCAACAGCTTCTAATAATTTATAATTTCGTAAATTCTGATGGTACACATCAAAAATCGACAGGCATGTTGCTGCATGTCTGATATAGCAGACCTAACAGAGCATTACTCTGCAGACCTGAATCCATATTCGTATGTCTGAGCTGTTAGTCAGATGTGCTTCTACATAGCACAGGCCTATTGCAGATATGATCAACTTTAGTTGTTTACAATACTGTATTTAATATTGTAATAAAATGTGCATATTTGACCATTTCTGTTTCTTCATTGTAAAAGTGCTGTGAGAATTAATAACGACGCAACTAATTTCGCAGTTCTATTTTCCTCAAAGAGATGAAACATTCCCCTCAATCTGGGAAAAATTATCGAGATGCTTGACTGAGCACCCCCAAAGCACATGCTTTTATAGCCAAGTACACTGGGCGCTATGTTGGACGAGTACAGTAACATTACTTCCTTTACATTATATAATTCCACAATTTTTATCTTGTAATTTCCCTTGTTCAATATACTTGACTCATCAACACTTGGGTGTTTTATGTCTGTAAACCCACACTTTCTCATGGTATTTATAATATAACTGTTAGTTGTAATTACATTCTGCATATGAATAGTTTACAATTAGCATAAAAACAAAAAAAAATATGTAGATTTACAGAAATAAACATCCAGCCAGAATAATTGCTCATATGACCAAATGATTGAAATTGTATAAATTTGTTTTATGCACTATGAAAGACTGGCATATATAGGATGGCATTCATAGTAAATATCACTTTTATTTTTTCATGCATTATTTTGTAAATTCTAAATTGACTTTGAATTAAGATGCATGTTACAAATAAATTGATTCTGCAATCCTCTCTTCTATTTCTAGTATACCTGCAAGCAAAAGCTGAAGAACAGAATATTGCCATGACCTTAAGTAAAAAGTCATTTAATGTGAAGTTCCAAAATAAAATCTGCAATGCAAGACGAGACTTTGCTAACAACTATATGAAATTATTAAACAGATGAACGCTTGATTTTATAAAACATTTGTATTGTGGCCTTTCAAAAATTTGTCTTGGTCAGTGAGTGATATTGTAATTGAATAATGTGCAAAACAAATAGTTTCTCGACACAGTGTGTACCAGATATGCCAAAATAAAATACTTAGAGAATACCAGACATGAAATAGAAGCTAAATTAGGGACGACGTCAAAAGATCGATGTCGGATAAAAAATTTAATTCCTCTAGTTTTTTTCCAAACCCCCACTGAAACTTAATTGATAAATATTGGTCATGGCGTCAGACTACATTCACCATTAAATACAAATTGATAATCGGACAGTAGTATTGCATAGCAGTTGGTTGTCGGGTGGGTGTAAAGAGAGTTTACAAATGCACCTCATTTGACGCACAGATTTAAACTCGAACCAAACCATTTTTCTGTTATTTTTTCTCTTTTCGGTTATTTCTGTCCATGATTGGATAGAACTACAAATACTCCAAGATTTTGTTGATTTAATTAAAAAATAAAATCGTTTTTGTAGGATGGAAACTTTTTGAGGTCAAAACCCCCCACCCCCAAACTAAAGGAAATAAGTTTTTTATCAGACATCGATCTTTTGACGTCGTCCCTTACTCTCATAATGGTTAGTTTAATAAATTAATAATACAAGTTTCTTTCAGTTGTATGCTCCAGTCTGATAAAAACTACCACTATAAGCATTGTTTCAATATTGTTAGTCCCACTGACCCTACCCATTTCAATCATCTGACACTAGTGACTTCTTATTAACAGTTATATGGTATCAGGCATGTACACTTGATGCAGCAAATACTCTTGTTACATGGCAAACTGATGTTTTTCAATCACCTGGTAGTTTGTATAAAATTTCTAAACTGGTCTATACATTGCCTGCAAAAGGTCTATAATTTTTTTAAAAACTGGAGTCAGAATATGGTGCAATCCACTGGTGGGAGTGTCCCACTCAAGAAAAAACATGAAACCTAATTATACATAGATATCAGCATATTAAATTCTTTTTCCAATTTCAAGTTTATGAAGGAAATTTAAGACAAAATTGATTTGGGTAGCCAGCTACTTGCAACAGAAAAACAAAATCAGTCTTAGCAACACATCAGGAATGGTTACAGAAGATTTTCTGTTTTATTTATTTTAAATAAATGCAAATTAATCTGATAAGTTTCCTGGCAAATTCGGGTCCTTATTGCTAGAGCTTGAAACAGGTTCAGGTGCATAAGTGCTGAAATGAATTTTTGATTAATTTTTGAGCTTGAATAGCAAATAGAACTACACCCCCTACCATTAAATACTCTGTGTGGTACCACAAGCGTAATGCAGATTAGAACTGGGCCCAGGACCATTGACTACTCGCTTCAGGAAAGACATCCTGGACGGACTGAATTTACCCAATAGGACATTGAGCAAACCTTTGCATTGTTTTCAACCACCACGCCACAAAAACAACTGATCTATATCTATTAGTTTTTGGCAAAGGGAACAAATATCTTGGGTACTAAAGTTTTGTAAACAGCTTTGTGACGAGTTGAAACCACTTGGAAGGAACAAAGATTTGTTGCACAGTATCAGGGTAAATTTGGTTGACATTGCACTACTCTCGGCATGCAAGTTGTTCCCATAAGCAGTACATATAAGAAACTAGTAATTTAGTGATGCACATGCATGACTGCACATAGCACCCTCTATGAGAGTACTTGTACAACAAATTCTGTCATTAGTTTTAGACATCTGCATTCTATTGCTACATGTATGTGTGAATTAATCTCAAGTGGTGTTTGGTGTCAAAAGAAAAACAATAAGAAAAGTACAAGAGCTTATTTTATTACAGATGTTTTTGAGCACAGTAAAAAAAATACATAAATCTTGTGAAAAAACTTTCTGTTAGTTTATATCGAGCACAGCAGTGCAATATATCAGTTATATTTTATGATGACCTCATCACACTGCATGAAAGTAGTGTTGTATAGACCGCCTGGTCCTGTACATCAAAACATGGATACAAATGAAATCCTGAAATAAATGCAAATTAATTTACCGTAATCATAGTTCTAGATTATTTGTTCATGCACCTTCCGTCATCCATTTCTACAATAGTTTATTCCTCTTATCACCAGTGTGAGCTTGTCTTTTATGGAAATATTTTCTAGAAAAATCCGTCCCAACTAATACATTGGGTGCACAACCAAAAGTCACTACCATAGATTTAAGAGTACCAGTATAGAGTAAATATTGACACTATACATGTATGATCAGAATTCATTATGATTGCGGGATACACCATATATATAACCATGACAACTATTATCTTCATCTCTTTTCTCCCTTAAAATTTAGGTACAACAATATTTGTCACATTTACTCCCCAATAGAGACAGTTTGGTAAAAATGATCAAACAATATCTGAATGGTTAAGTGTCAAGCACAGCAGTGGGTAGCCATAGTACTGTGAGACAAGTATAAGAACAAAAATACCTTAAGCAGCATTTCAACATTTTTCACTGAATAAACAAGACAAATGAGTTTTAAAACATAAATGTTTTATTGGGCATTACATTAATTGAACCTAAATAATTTATTCTGAGACATATCACACATATCTTAATTCAATTAAGTGACCACACGTACAATTGTCAAAAATACAATTTATCAATAGTGTATTTTTCTGTGGATCAAGAAATGATGGCAATCATGTGTGCATAGCAGTCTGGTAGTGAAGTCTATCTAACTTAGCCTGGAGTTCTTTAAACTTGGATAAAGTGTTCTGTACGTGTGGTTGTAGTCCCATGGCTTCTAACTCTACGTTGTAACTGGCAATGGCATCCAGACATCGACTGGTGAAAGCTTTCCTGAAGGACAAATTTAAACATTTTTATTATCATTTTTATACTTTTTTTTAACAATTTTGAAATGATATGAAATTGAAACTTCAAATTAAATACCATTCTGATGCTGTATACCAATGTCGGCAGTAAAGGGTGGTGAACAATCATGGAAGGTCTAAAATCCGATACCACTGAACCCCAACTACGTTGTAAACAACATGTTAATAAGGGTCGTACTGAATACTATAAACATGTATTTTGTTAATTTGATTAAAATAAAACTGAATCAGGATATTTCATTTCAACTGTTGAATGCATGTTCAACCAGCCAATTGAAGGAAACCTGATTCTGGTCAATTTGTTTTCTAAAATCAACATGTGCCAGCGGCTTTTTAGTTTAGTTTATAAAATTACCGGTATGACTTTTCATGAAAACTACCGTACTCGACCGCGTGAGCGCCCATGCCCGGTCAAGCGCCCACCCCCCACTTTTGCGCAATTTTTATATTCGGGATTATTCGGCTAAGCGCCCACCCCTTCAAAATGCAACTAATTTAAAACTTGGTCTTTGATAATTGCCTAACAAATCGTGGTAATTATTTTTATATGATACAACGTGGATATTGCTGCCGTGAATATGTTGTGAATGCGTAGACCATGGTAACCATGCGTAAACTAAGCTTCGACAAAATGCGGTAAATATTTCATGCCATATTCAGTTTACCTCCCCATAAATGACTAGTTACCATTTTTTTTTGAAAAAACATGTTGTTTATTCGCTGAAATCAATTCCAACAGATCGTACTTCGACATCAATAATTCACTTCCGCATTGCGTTACCAGAAAGTCTTTGAGAATTTCCGAAGAAATAAGTAGACACAGCATTGGTTAATAACAAACGTGACCAATTAGGTCAAAGGACGCTGTTGCTTGCACGTCAAATTATGCAAATGCATCATGGCGGAAGGAGATTTTCATCGGGAGTTTGCAAACGATCCTACACATTCGTCAGTGGAGATAATGATGAGAATTTTGACTTTGACTCTTACATTTTTAATTTCGTAAATTACGGTGGTACGTAATTAATATTGTAATAAACGTGCATATTTTTTGTGATCATTTCTGTTTCTTCAATGTAAAAATGAATGACGACGCAACTAATTTCGTAATTTGATTTTCCCTCAAACATGTAATATCCCCCTCAATTTTCATTCTTTACCGGGGGGGGGGGGGGGGGG